TGGGGTGTCTCCTTCCACTGGCCCCACCCTGCAGTACTACCACAGACCTGCGCGTGGAGTGGATCTGGTCCATGGGCTGTATTTTGCCTACCCCTGATTTAGGTGAATAATCTACAACCCTTGCTAGGAAAATAACTCTAGATTACCATGCAGTTCTAATTCTTGTTGTGAATTTGGATTTATATGGAACTGAAAAACAAAACAAAACAAACAATAAATGTATATTCTTTTCAGGACAGGCATGAAATTCATAAATTTATTTTTAATTGCCTTTTCAACTTGCTTGCACTTTGCTTTTTACCACCTGGTGTTTAAAAATCCTGCACAAATATTATTGCTGTTCACTATACACTATGTCTTATTGCATTAGCAGTCAGAATACTATGTGACAGCTAAGCCACAAAAGAGTAAAAGCACTAATGGATTTGTCAGAATGTATTACTTATTGCTTGTCACTTAAGCTTTACTTTTAGCTTTCTTCATAGGTTCCACTGGGTTAAGTTCACCACTGGCTGCTTTCAGAGATTCTGAGTGTTTATTGAAGGATTAGATTTTATAAAACACTTGCATTAGCAGGACTGTAGTCATGTATTGAAGGTCACTGTAAGCTTACTGATCTAGAAAACATTCTAGTTATAAGAGAAACATCAAAACAATTATTCGTGTTGCTTCACATGGTCAGTGAATTTCTGGGGCCTTTTAAAAAAGAATATTTGTAGTGATCCAAAGAGATCCACATAGTTTTCTATATCTACTTGTGAGCAATCAGAAAGATTTAGGTTATGCTAAGAAAGCAAAAACATAAAAAAGGAAATGTCCAGAAAATCTATAGAAAACATAGCCTAAAATGTGACTACAATGCACATCTTGTAAAACGGATTCCGATTAAAGTAATAATCTGATACTATTGCCAATATTGGGTATTACTTGAATGTGTATAACAAAATCTTCATTTCTAAGGAAAAACAAATTATGGAATCTCCTGTTTAAATATTGTAAGGCAATGGCTATAGGACAGGGGCAGGCAATTATTTGGGCAGAGGGCCGCTTACTGAGTTTTGGCAAGCCATCGAGGGCCGCATGTCAGGCAGCCCAGGGCAGATGAATATTAATTTTCTAAAATTTTTAGGGGCCCTGCAGGCTGGATAGAATGGCTTGGCAGGCCACATCCGGCCCCCAGGCTGCATTTTGCCAACACCTGCCATATGATATATCAGCATAAACCAGACAGATGAGTGGTTTATGCTGATATAATAGTATATTACTAATTTAAACCAAATATAAATAACTCTCTCCCACTTGGATAATAAGAATCAACCATATAAGATTTACATATAGTCAGGGATGACTTTTCAAACAAAATAGTAATGATGTCTTGCAGTGCAGAGGGTTTCAAAAGCAAAAATGCCAGGAAAAATGGGAAGGTTTGTCCTTATCTCTGCATGGATATTTCACATACTTCTTTTTTCTCCTGGGTTCTTTTACTTGTCTATCTTTTTCTCCCAGTTTCTGCATTTGTACCCCTTCAGAGCACTCAGTGAATTCTGCAACGTGTTCTCCATACAGCCTTTTTGTACTATGCAGCATGTTTTCCGTACTCTTTGAGTACACTGATCTTTCTACAGTATCTACCTAGCAGTTTATTACTAAATCTTGTAACTGACATCACTGGATGGTAAGGAAATTGCTTTTCAGCTTGTGTAATCAATGGGCTCCTAGAACAGAAGAAACTTAATCTGTTGTAAAGGATGGAAAAGGGACTGGCAGAAGACCCTTTGACATGCAATACCAGTCCCCCAAAATCTGCATTTAATGGAAAAGTTTCATGACAAGATAACATTCATGATCAGGTAAAAATCTGTGCGCCAAAATTCCACCATGTAGATGATCTTCAGTGTAACAGCCTGCTAGTTTCTAGGATAAGTGTTCTCAAAAGAATCATGTTTTCATGGAGGCTTATAAACAAATATTAACATGAACTGAGCCTCATATATGTTAGGAAGGAAACTTGCCAACTTTGGCTCAAAGAAGCCTGTTGTCCCTGGCAATGTACATACAAATATAAAGTAGTACAAGAACCAAAGGGAATTACATCCCTTAAGTTTGATGAGCTGAGATTGGAATGCCTGTGAAGATGAGCTCAGTAGTTTCGTAAATCTAATACACCACTTACATAAAAATCATGTGGGAGTACTAATTGTAATAACAATGTAATACAGTTTTTGCAAGGCATCCTGAGAGAAATAAAAATAACCGCCCTCTGCAGCATAGCTAAATAAAACAAAGCAAAATAACAGAGTCTCCACAGGGACCCAAATTAACAGACTTTGAAAAAGAAATTGGTAGAAGACTTTTAAGGGAGACTCTACTTGCTGGTTGCTTTAATCTTACTGACTCTGCACATCTTATCTTTTTAAACATGGCATGTCTTTCGAGAAAGAAAGTTTCAAAAGCTGTTTTGAATCTAAGGCTTGTCAAGGACAAACTGTATTGTTTTATTGTTGGGTTTTTGTTTTGTTTTGTTTTGTTTTGTTTTTGCCGGGGTGGGCTGGGGTTTGTAATATTAATCCCTGGTCTTCATAACAGTAGTCAGACTGCTAATCTCAATACACAGGATTTCAGTGGCAGAGATGAAAGATCCAAACATTCAGTATACCAGTCAGGCTATGGAAGCCCACAGGGTGAGTTACACAAGCTGCTTGGCCAAAGGAGAGAGGGTCTAAAGAATGGTTACAATGTGTCTATTGCTAGCAATGTCCATTTCCCTTAGTCAAGTTGACAATGATCAACATCCACCCCCTCCCCTTTAAACTTTTCTGCGTCTTTGTTTAGCAATGCCTTTCAAAGTGACATCCAGTCTTATATAATTCTGAACATTATACAATGGTCTGACTATCCTGGCATGGAAACAGCTAAAATATGTTAAACACTTTGTATTTCATATTGCACAGAGAATGTTTTCAGTGCTTAGTGGGAAAATATTACTTTATGCTTTTAAAAATATGAAACAGGATTTAAAGTATTCTCTTCATAAACAGTGTAGTCTGTATGAAGGCTTAGGGCTGAAAGCTTAGTCAACATACAATGCAAAACAAAAGTTCACATAACAGAACAAAACCCCTCCCATGGTCTTTCCAGACATCCCTGGACCGAACTGAAAGCAAATGGAATAATAATAATTTTAGAAGTATTACAAAGCAGTGGTCAACCACCTATCTGAGGCATTAATGGGCCTAAATTTTAAAGAAGCTTCAAACTCACAGTCATAGGTGGTGGGAGAAACTATTATTGGGAGGGGGCTGAGTAATACTTAAACTTAAAAGATAATTCTATGGTGCTGTTTTTGGGTGGGGGGGGGCTGGAGGTGCGGTGCAGGGTAAAATACGGGGGGCAGTGCAGGGCCTGACTCCTGCCCTTCCCTCCCGCAGGGCTGTTGGGCTGGCATGCACTAGTGCTGTAGGCAGTGGCAGAGGAGTGCATGGCAGGGGTGCTAGGCACAGAGCTGCAGCAGCAAGGCATAGCACTGGAGCAGTGGAGCCACACAGAGCTGAGCGCACATGGGGTGCTGGCCTGGATGCATGCTGAGTAGTGCTGGGCACTGCAGGACAGTGGCGCCGTGGTGCTGCCGTTGTCACCAGCTGCTGCAAAATCAGTTTGGGGGGGCTAAGCCCCGTTAGCCCTGGCCTTCCACTGCCTATGCTCACAGTATTTTTATACCTGCACTTAATTGCTGGTACAAATCCTGCTATTTAGATGTCTTTTTAAAATATCTGATTTGCAGACACAGGAAATACTTACATGTTGAAATTTTAAGATTGGTGTCTTCACTTTCATACACAAATAATACAAAAGATACACAGCCTCCCCCACCAATCAGTTTTTTTATGTCAATAGATGTATAAATATATCCTCTTGGTTCTCTCTACATCCATCTAATTGTTTTTGCAGTATGTCCTTCGGTCAAACCTCCTCAACTTCTTCTCCTTTCAGCTTTTTGTGGAGTTCCCTTGGTCCCTCCTTTTTTTGGCCATCTACATCTTATCTCAGAGTAATCTTACCCACGAATTCAAATGAAACTACCACGTCCATGCTGATCAATCTCAGATCTAACTGTCTAATATGGACCTTTCTCCTTCTCTCTAAAATAAACTCTTGGCCTGATTTTGACATCACAAGTGTACCGAATCTCAGGCTAAAACAGTTATTAATCTTCCTGCCTGAACCCTAGCCCACTGCCTCTAATTTCAACCATCTGGGATTCAGAGAACAGATTTTGTTAGACTGATTTTCATGCCAATGGCCCCAGTTCAAAGCACTTAAAGATGTCAGACATAACACATATATAAAAGACAACCCTCAAAGTACATAGTAGTTAAAACCGGTGTTTATGTGATTTACTGAGATCAAGGAGTATTGATGCACATGCCATCATTTCTTCTTCCAAGACAGAAAAACTACACCAAAGCTTTCTAAAATATAGAATTAAATATGCTAGAAAGCTTTGGTTTGGATACTTATATAAGTAACCTGATTTTCAGGTGCTAACTCTCTACAATGGTCATTAACTTTTATTGTCATTCAGGTGACTATTGATGATTCCTGAACAGTTCTTGTTCTCTTTAGAAGCTCTACCTTGCTGTATAATACAGAATAAGTTGTTTATAAACATCACTATAAAACCCACATCTATTAGGTTTTAATGAATTCATTCACAGATATTTAATCTAAAATGATATTTATAAAAGATGCAACCTACATGAAGCATTTTAATTCTATTGATTTAAGTGAGATTATTCTCAGAGACCTCAGAATATCAGGTGCTATGACTGGAAAAACAACTTGAAATACCACTGCGGTGTACCTTTAATTTGAGTAACATAATCCAGCTGTGTTTGTGTCAAATGAGAGGACAATGCAAAGCTGTGATCTTTCATTTAAAACTGGAAGATTAAATTGTTCAATAATATAAAACTGTTCAGAAGTATAGACGGGCCTCTGACCTTTAGTCTGCGATCCTGATCTCCACTGCACAGAGAATTTACAGACACTTTAAAAGATTTCCAGGCTGGATTTAAGTTATTCATCACAACCTGAAAATGAAAAGAGAGAAAGGAAAATGATTTCACATTTGCACATTTTAAAATAAAATGCTAAAACAATAGCCATGACTTTTAATAAAGTAGATTAATCAGAAAGAGAAAAATATGTCTAGTGGCTAAATTTTTAATCCAGCATATTAAACACTGGTAACATTTTTCAGCAATCCATTACACAAGCAAAGGCAATTCTACTTAATGAAATCTTTTGTATACCTACTGTCACCCTTTGACAGTAGTCTGTGATAACGTATATGGAAACTGAGGCCTTGTCCTCAGGCTGGTTATGTCCCTGGGAATTATCCAACTGACTTCAACAGGTTTTGGATCCGGTCCATAAAAAGCAACATCATCTTGAGCTAACTAAAAACTCTGTTCATTAACACCCTTAAAGCCAGTTGAAGTTTAAAACAAGTGCCCTTTGACTAATACAAAGTACACTCTGTGGCCACTGGTGACCCCAACAGGTGCAAATAAGTGGGACAGGATTTAGTCTAGGGTAACTAGCTGATTGCAGTAAGGTCTTTTGCAGTTCTACTGTGTAAAAAAAGAAAATGGTTTGCATAACATATTCCTGTTAAGTGTCCTCCAACTGTTATTGGGCTATGTCCCTAAAGACATACCTAGGGAAGAGAAAACCTTATTAATAAACTAGTGTACATCACTGAGCTGTTCAGGATCTGAGAATAAAATATATTGAGGAAGCTGGTATTTTCTGCAACTCAGCAGAAATCTGAATAATTCAGATGAATGCAGTATCACCGCTATCCTCAAGAATGTCTGGATTTTTATGTAGGCTTTAGACCAATTTATTAACTGCATTTTAAACGGTGCTAATAAAAGAACTGCTGCCACATACTGAAAATGTTATGAAAATATACAGCATTCAACTGCCATTGAGAGTATACGGATATGAACTTTTAGCTAGAAGTGCATATTTTTGTCTGCCTAAATAGAAGAGAGCAACCTTTTGTAATCAAGTAAATGGCAAGAAGCAAAATACACACCCGCTCAAAGACTCTCAACAGCTGCCACTCTAGCCTGTCACCTGCAGCTTCATGTACACTGGTTGCTAGGACCACAGGGTCCATGTAACTTTGGAACATGATGAAAACCAAAAAAAGCAGGCAGATTACAAATGAAGAAATGTACAAAACCTCATGACCACCACCAAACGCGGACAAAGAACAGGCAGAAAAGAGCTCAAGGGGGCTCGATGGAGCTGTGAAATAATACGGCATTGCATACCACTTTTTTAATACATTGACCATCAAATGGAAGTAGGAACTGTTAGTTGAGTTAATGCTGCATTTCAAATGGCATAACAAATTCCCCTTTTGGTACTGCAATCAATACTTACATTAGTATACATCAGGAGGGAGAGAAGTATTCAAATGTGGGCACATGTTAAGGTCCTCTGAAATGTAGAAATATAGACCCACATCCTTGGAGGCAGTTAGGTGCCTATCACTAGAAGGCATCTAAACAGCTATGAAGATCAGCATCATAAACTATTTCTTTCTATACCCCAGTTATGACCCTGGAAAGTGACAACAGCTCGTTTCTTACCTCAGTTCTATGAACAAGCTGCTGGGTTGCATCATCATTCATCCGGAAAATCTCCAGAAATGGATCAGATTTGCTGAAAAAATCCTAAAAATATACAGAGTAATTACTCTGGAGAGTCATTAGATATTATCCATATCATACCTCTGCTTCCCTGCTAATGAAATGCTAATTCTGAATTTGTAAGGCTCTCCCAATCCGTAAGCAATATTAGTTTCACAAAGATTCTCAAAATGTTTCTGTTGGTTTCAATGTGACTATTGTTGTATTTCTCAAATTGGGGTACCTTGTGGATGCACAGTGGACTTCTAGAGGGTAAGGAAAACAAAAAGTGGGAAAGGGAAAAAAAAAAAAAGGAAAGATTAAATATAAATGAAAGAAAATTAAAAACCCCGAACAACTCTCTTTGATTGCCAGAAAGGATAACAAAGGGCAAACAATAGCATGACAAACTTAAGAAAGTGTACATGGTTCAAAAATGTTTGAGAACTGGCATAATAATGGCAGTGGGTACTGTGTTCACTCTTTTGCTTTTTCTGATAATTCCCACTCCTCCCCATCCCCCAACTCGCATATCTGCACTCTGTGTGGCAGGCAGACTACCAAGCTACATAGATTACGTTTTTATTATCAGTTTTATTTTACTGGGAACTTTGAATCAGATTTTGGTGGCATTACATCAAGGGCCGTGGGACAGACGTCCTGTTTGAAGAACAGCAAGTGCTTTTGGAAGACTGCAAACAGTCAGGATGCAGACATTCACAACTCAAAAGGAGGAATATCTTTGAAGTGCTTCATTCTGAAGTATGATTTACAATTTCTGATTGAAATTATGAAATTATTATATAGATGTTAGTATATAAATTGAATGCTTCCCAGTTTGTATTCATGTTGTCTTGCAAAACCTCCATCTCATCACTCTGTCAGCAATAATAATCAGTTGTTAAATTTGGGAAATAGCCAGGGACTCAGGTTTAGCTAAGCTCTAGACAAGCCGGGTTTGTCTACATGGGGTTGGAATTTGGAGTAGTGGAATGTTATCAAAGTTAAATAAAATGCCTGGTTTTAAGAAGGAGGGGTGTTAACTTTGGAGAGGATTGTGGGAAAGAGAATTTCTTATGGACTGGGAAGTTTGGGAGAAGCCTTAAACCACTACCAAGATGACAGGCACTACAGCAGTGGCCTAACGAGTCTGATGAATACAGGAAACCTCCAAGCACTGGTGAGCTACAGTGGTTATGCTCAACCTTTTTGCCCCACAAGCCAAATGGTCAGTGCCCACTATGTCTGGGGCCAGATCCAGCTAATGGGGCCCAATCCAATGCATGGAGCAGGCACGGTGGGGCCCGATCTGGCTGCACAGGGGAAGGGGGCATGGCTCAGCTCTGACCCGGCCACATAGAGTGGGGAGGGCATGACCCAGCCCCAGCCTGGCTCCACAGGGGGATAGGGCTGGAAATTTGCAAGTGGAGGATTGTGACATTATTAATGCCACTGCTTCCCCAACACTGATTTTCCTAACCATGGGCTGGATTTGGCACTTAGGCCATGGGTTGAGTACCTCTGAGCTAGAGGAAGGGACATTGCAATTGGGATGTTTGTTGTTTTCTAACTGATCTTGTGCTAGTAAAGAAATGATATATTTATATCACACAAGTTGTGCAAAGCTTGTGTATGTGTCATATCTTTACTATATAATCCTGAAAAATTAAGCGGAAAATTAGAAGGTTCTCACTCTTGGTGGTGGGTTTAAACCCAAATGGGTTCACATTGTAACCCTTAAAAGACAGGAGCACTGTCTGGATTCTGTTCATAATCTAGAGTCTTAAAGCATGGGCAGGAAACCAGCCAGGGTTGTATGATCTCTGATAAAAATAAAAACAACGAAAGATTATAAGAAAGAAGGCATCAACAGGAAAACAATCACAAAACTGCAGGAAAGGAAGGACTGCTGAATACTGACTTGTATTGTCCCCTTATGTGTACAAAAAAGTCCAATTCTTTCAGAAGTTATGAAGTAAACATCATTCAACATTAAAGTTGCTTAGTAACAACTCAGAAAAATTATATGATGAACAGACACATATCTGCTAGCATAATCTTGTTTCATAGCTATTAATGTTTACAACACATTTCAGTTGTTTCAGTATATCTAACAGCATGTTCAACTTGATTTCATTTTACAATAACAATTTAGTAGTCCTCCTTTGGAAGACATATAGTGCAATAAAGGTTTAATGTCTTAATATTTTAATAATGTTTTAAAGGATTTATTAAATGCGTTTGACAGTGGTATAATATTCTCTCAGCATGCAAAGAAGTTATGGTTCACAGCTACTAGCACATTAACTAGCGAGTGCTTCTACCTAGCTTGAAACATCGTGCGTGGTCAATATTTTCAGAGTGTAGACTTCTGGCACTTTTTGAACGTCAGGCCCCTTTGAGGTTTTTAAAGTTAGACATCCAAAAACTACTACTCACTTTAAAATTCAAACGTATTCCTGAAGCAACAGCAAAATAATTTCACAGTGGGTGTGTCTACATGAGACAGTAGTGCA